GCCTGAGAAGGAATTCAGAAAAATGATTATAAAATGTTTCAAAACACTTTACAATGGAGTTGAGAAAAATAAGGAAGAAGTCAGGAAAGCACTACAGGAACAATTAAATAAGATAGATACAGCACTGGAAACAATTCAAAACCTACAGAAAGAGGTCCAAAGGATCAATAATAGAATATCAGAAATAAACAATACTCTGAAAGGGCAAAGGAGTAGAATTGAAGAGATGGAAGGAAGGCAGAACCAGTGAGCGGGAAGACAAATCTCTCAATATCACTAAGAATAGCAAGCAGAAAAATGGGGAGGGGGGGGAATCTGAAGAAGGTCTAAGATTTCATGTTGGACAACATAAAGAGGAATAACTTAAGAATTATCGGCATTCCAGAACAAGAAGAATCACACAAGTCCACAGAGGAAATAGTTGAAGAATTGCTGGAAAAAAATTTCTCTAACATCCTGAAAAGTGAGAAGATAAACATTCAAGAAGCTCAGTGAACCCCAGGAAGGATAGACCCCAAAAGAAAATCACCGAGACACATCATAATCAAGCTCTCCATAATCAAAGGATTCACTCCTGAAAGCAGCTAGGGAAAACAGAAGTGTTATATACAAAGGCAAGCAAGTCAGATTAAGCTCGGATCACTAAGCAGAAACCATGCAAGCAAGAAGGCAATGGGGAGACATATATAAAACCCTGAAAGGAAAAAAATTTACAACCAAGAATCCTTTATCTAGCAAAGTTATCAATCAAATACGATGGTGTAATCAAAACATTCCAGGATAAACAGAAGTTAAGGGATTTTGCCAAAGCCTACCCTGTGCTACAAAACACCCTAAAGGGAGTTCTGTGGACTGAGAACCAACAAGAACAGACAAGGACCAGAGATTGACATACGTGGCAGCACCTCCGAGAATTAAATCGACAGAAGGAAGAGTAGAAAAGAATAAAACTATAAGAACAAACTCAGAGAATCTAGGAGGTCAGTCTATGATCAAAACAATTACAATGTAAAAGAAAGTAAACATGTAGGAACAGCGATCAAGATGGTGAGAAGGTCAGGTAGATTACAGGATAAAATAGACTGCATTAAATTGAGAGAAAAGTTAATGGACTATAAGTCAACCTCAAAGAAAACTAACACTTCACAACATACCAAAAGAATGAAAATCCAAGAAGAACATGGAAACATTAAAAATATGAGGAAACTCACAAGAAAGGACACAAAAAACATGAACTCAACAAAGGAAGACATACAGAAAAAAGAAAGCAACACCACCACAAAATAACAAACATAATGGCAGCAATTAATCCATACATATTGATAATTACACTGAATGTAAATGGATTAAATGCGCCTGTTAAGAGACAGAGAGTGGCAGAATGGATAAGAAAACAAGATCCTTCAATAT